TATCAAAAACAATTTTCTTATTGAATCTATCTTAAAGAAGTTGCATATTTGTTTGCTCGACACTTTTTCACGTTCAGCTCTGCTTCGTCTAAAATATACCTTATCTGCTGATGCACTTAAAAGGCAGATTCTTCCTCTTGCAAACAACAGATAAAATCATCAACATTTACTTTATTATTTACGGTTTAAAATGGTGGCTGGGTAGTCTTCTTCGTACTTTTATGGGTGTTTCAGTGTTGCATTTAGCAAGAATGAACTCGACTATAGTCTAAAACTGATCCGCATCATTCGTAGAACTTCTGGTTCCATCTTCGTTCCGTCTTTAATCCAAAGAAATCTAACAGCGTTTCTAGCTTCTTGTAGGAACACACCCTCAGTATCAGTTATCAAGACAATCCTGTTAAAAGTTAATTGCAAATCTTAGTGTCATTTGCAAGTCACGTTTACAAATTTAGCTTTAAGTTCGTGTCTGGATTCCTACGATCATTAAGGAAAACAATAATCATAGCATGATGAGAGGATATAAAAACACTCCTCATTTTTTTAGTTAATTTATATGCAGTAATTATTTCTTGATGAGGGATGCATTTAAATCTAAATTATCATTGCACGCGATTCCCAAACTTTCTAAATCAAATATATTCTTTAAGATCTCAGTTTCTCCTAAGTTTTCGTTTCGAACAACAGACTTCATTAGCTTAACATCGCTAGCGTTCGATCTCAATTAAGCATCAGATCCTTTGCGTACTTATTTCGCTTTTGTTTCCGTTCCCGCTAAAGATTCTGGCATTCGTTTTATTTTTTCAGTAACGATGCTCCAAAAATTATCTAAACCTGTAGAGATATTAGGCATTTTTGGAAGCAGGCAAGATGAAAAATGAGCAATCGCCTTCGCCGGGAATCGAACCACGGACCTCTGAATACCGGCCCAGCGTGCAGAACCACTACACCACGAAGGCACGCTAGAAACGCCGGAGAAATACCTTATAACCCAACTGACAATAATATTCTTAAGTTGCTCAGAATGTGCATCGTCAGCCATCTTTACAATAATTGCTTATTTCTTTGCCACCGCTTTTTAATTATCGCTTCATACATGAATGGAGTTTCTATAGATTCTAATGTTACTATTTCCTTTGATTTATAAACATCTCAATTTCACTCTTACACTAGTGCTCATTATTGTTGTCTTTTAGTTCAAAAGGGCGTTAGCCCAAAATGACTATTAGTCTCGAAGCGCTATTTTGCGTTGAATCACTAAAAGCGTTGTATCACTTTTCAAATTGTTACCACCAAATATTATCGCTCTATATTATATTTAAAGAAATTAAATGATGAAGAATCTGCACGAATGTATGCATGTTTCTCGCATTGTGAAAAAACGATGGTACCCGCCCCAAAGGGGCATTAGTCCAAAACGGCTATTAGTCTCGAAGCGCTATTTTGCATAGAATCAGTAAAAGCGTTGTATCACTTTTCAAATTGTTGCCACAAAACATTATCGCCCTGTATTATATTTAAAGAAATTTAAGTCTGAATAACGTTTCAAATTGTTGCCACCAAATATTAAAGCCCTGCATTATATTTAAAGAAATTAAATAATGAAGAAACTGCATGAAAGTATGTATGTTTCTCGATTTGTGAAAAAACAACGGTACCTAGAGCCATCAAATTTTGAATAACGTAGTCCCCCACTCAAATATTGGCATCTGGAAGCCCAAATTTGGAATTTGTTTTATTATCCATTTCCTATTTTTTAAAACTTTAACGAATCTTTGATTAAATCAAAGAAAAAATCAACGATTTCAAAGCGTTCCACTAACATTAACATCGCGTGCATCTTCACGCACGGTTACTTTTTTTGCGCGAGGATTCTTTACATTTCTTACTGGTATTATGTTGGTAGCGCAGCAACTCAAAGACGCTAAAATGTCTAACGGTATTTTGCGTCGGTATCTATAGCCATCAAATTTTGAATCATGTAATCCTCCACCGAACATGGGCATCTGGTAGCCCTTATTTGGAATGTATTTTATTACAGATTTCATATTTTATAAAACTTTAAGGAATTTTTGATTAACAAAATCAAGGATTTCAAAGCGAGCAATGGCAACGTTGTATAAAAAAAAATTTTTGATCTCCAACGCGCGAGACTGTGCATCCGAAATTCTAAAGATATGCTCGTTTTAAAATTATTTTGTGATACTGCTGTTGAACTGAATTTCATGGTTTAAGTGCGAAGAACATGATATTGAATAAATAAAGGCAACCTTTATTTATTAAATTACAAAAAAACTCCCCCTTTGGACGTAATTAAAAATTTGAAACCTTTCAGATTTTTACTATTTTGTTTTTTATTTATTTATTTTGTGTGCGCGCGCTCTTGAGCCAAAAACAAAAATAATTAAACGTTCCTGATGTGTCACTTCAAATTTGAATTTGCGAGATATCTGCTTTGTCAGCAAAGGTCTTTTACTATCAGTGTCGAATAAACGTTTCATTTTTACTATTTACTCGCGCTGTCAGCAGAGTAATAGCCCTTTATAAATGCATGGTGCAACCCTTTCGACTGGAAACGGAATAATTTCGTGCATAACTTAAATTGCTGGTTATTATCTATTTTATTTCATTCCCGGATATTATCATGATTTGTCACTATTTCCTGTTCTCAAACATAACGAAGTTCTTTTCGTTTGCATTTTGTGCACCATAGCCCAGGGTTTCTTAAACTGGCGGTCGTCAAAAATTTTAGCAGTTTTGATATTTCTTTAACTGATTATAATAATTTTACAATTACCAAATAGTTTTACACAATGTATCTGAAATAGATAAAAATAAGACAATACAGACAAAGAAAAAAACGAAAACGTTTCGACACATTCTTTTTATAATATAAGTCTTCATTTTTCGTGCTTTGCACGTGATGCTGTTATTTCGTTTCTTACTTATTTAAAATTTGTACATTGCTCTATGTCTTAAAATTAGAAATTAAAGTTAATGACCTAAAAAATACCTACTTACTTAGAGTAAATATTAGGTGGCTCCCTCACTTCTACATAACATAACATAACATAATAGTATATTACAGTACAAGCGAAAAAATTGACAGTTTCACTCACGCGTGTGTCGGATTTGTGCTATACTTACGGGATCCCACAAAAGTTTTGTAAATATTATGGGGTCCTGGGGGCGCGAAAAAATTTCAGAGATAAAAAGGGTCGCGACTGAAGTTTAGGAAACCCTGCTATAGGCGATCGCTAAAAAAATCTGCAAACATGGTATTTTTTCAAGCAATTAAATTAGCAGACGTAATAAATTAGCTTTCCCTCCAATTATATATGAAACACATTTAGCGGGTTTACATTTATCTGTAGAATAAAATACACCTGCATTTTAAATTTTAGTATTTAGTGCAACTGCTGTTTGTAATCATTCAGAATTTTCCTATTTTCTGTACCGCGAATTTTTCATTTTATCGGTTTCCTCTATCCTAAAAAGTAAAAGAGTATTTTTCGAGCTTTGATTTCTCTTTTAAAAAACTGGAGTAATTTTGAGAGTTCCAAGGTCTTCTTCCTTAACAGAACGATTATATTCCAACGTTGTCTTCAGGAATTAATTTTACTGAAATCGCAAAAAGAACTTTATCTTAATTATTCAGTTCTACTCCGGCTGTTTCAAGCTTTCGAAGGTGAATAGTAGCTGTGCCAAATAAATTATTCAACTAATTTTTTAATGCAAATTCGAAATTTCGTTTTCGCTCAAAACTTTCATTTTAACATGCGATGCAATTTGAATAATGTTTTGGTATTGCCCTGGTCACCTGGAACTTTCCTTTGCATTTTCGCGAATTATGTATCAGAATAATAATATAAAATCAAACTGCATATTCAAATACCATGTATAACACTCTTAGGTAGGGGTTTTCAAAATTGGTAGAGAATTCATCCTCATTTCATGGTTAGGAGATATGAATGCGTTGGACGACCCCCCATTGCTACTCAAGATATAACAAAGTGTTCACTGCAAAGGACAGCTCAGGCGTAGTGGAAAGGGCTGAAAACTGTCAAATTTAGTGTGAGTGAAGGGAAATCAATAGAAAAATCTCCTTAATTAAGTTTATTAAATGTAATAATAATTTATACTTTATAAAACACATAAATAATATACATTTATAAACTATAATAAACTTTATATAAACTTTATAGCATACTAATATTAAATTTTGTTTTCACCTTTAGTTATCGATATTATCTTAGTTATCTTTATTATTCATCTTTATCTATATTTATCTATAACTTTTATATATATTTATCTATAACTTTGTCTATATTTATAGTTATTTATATTATATTACCTCTAGTTATCTATATTATTTAGTTATCTGTTTATGTATTACAGGTTTTTAAATTTTTTTTTCTAATAAAGATTTGTTAAAACCTGATAGTTATCATTTTCAAAGCATTGCATCAATGAGTAAATGATTATAGTAACAATGATTTGGGCAATATCATTTTAATGTATGGTGTAAAATGGCGGGAATGGAGCAATAAAGATTGAGAACAACTACTTCTAATCATATCTGCTATTATAAAAATGAATGTTAAAATAAAGTAATGCAATGTTAAAAATATAGTAACAGTTTAATGTTAACTACATGATATTTAACAATAAACTGGCCAAGTGTGCTAACTTATTAAAATGCAAATCCAAGTTTACATAATTTTTATATTCTTTCAGAAATGTAATTAATAAAACAAAATGAATAATAAAAGTCATTTTGCTTTATTAATAGCTTGTAACAGTAGCGTCTAAAATTCTAACCTTTATTTTATTATAATGCGAGATTCAATCTGTAGTCATGGGATGTTTTGATGAAGGAAAAAATGTACATTTCGCCAAGGCAATAAGCTTTGAGCGACATTTCCACTTTTAACGCCGACCTCCTTCTCATTGGCGAGAAAAGAAAAACTAGCAACCCTTGAACGCAGAAGTTTAGCTCCCGCGGTTCAGTCAGCCAGTAACACGTGCTAAAGGAAGTGAGTAAGAGCGTAACAAGATGATGCTTTGGATTATCTTCTTCATCTTTAGTCTAAGCAAATGTGACGCTGGATACAAAGGTAAGTACGATTTTCTTTGTACCTTTAAAAGCTAAGCCAAAAGGTTTAAATTTGTACAATGAGAATTCTAATCACAGTTGACAATTTAGTTACATATTCTGACCTTTTTAGCTACAACTGAACTGCCCATATTCTGGTAATGCAAGATTTTTATGGAATTTATGTAATACTAATTGCATGTTTTACAGGTTTTTAAATTATTTTTCTGATAATTACTTATTAAAACCTGATAATTATGATATAAATGACATAGTCTATACAGGGGCTCTCAACCAGGGGAAATTACCCCTTGGGGAGAATTTCATAGCTTCAGGGAAGATTTTGGTCCTCCTTTTATTTATTTGTTAAATATTCAGTTATAGTTAATGAATATAAAATACAACTTGATATATTCAAATTTTCAATTCAATATTCAAATTCTGATATTTGTCAACATTTTCTAAGCTTTTTGTTGTTTACTTTATAATGCAAGTTAAAAAATTATGTCAATTTAAAGGAATTTATCTATGTAGTTTTTTTTTCCTTGGAAAAGGAAGGGGGAATGACCCTCTAGTAGTGGTGAAAGGGGTGTATTGGTCTGTACATTCAGATTCAAAACACAAAAGTTTTTAAAATTTAGTTACTCTAAAATAAGAAACTATTAAACATTAAAATCATGTGAACTTTTAGAATATGGGATACTAGGTAGTATTTGATTTATCCTTTATATTTTACATTTTACTAAGCGTAATAAACTCTTCCATTGCCTTATTAGCTTTGCAACTTAGACAGTGCTCTTAAAATTCTATGTTTCTGTAATTTTTATCGAAAACAAAATTCAAGGATATAAAGTTAAAAAGAAAAGTTAATATATAGTGTTATAATTTCCAGCTCGGATATATGTTTCGCTTTATATAATCATAAATTATTGATTTATTTGCTGAAAAGATATACTTCAAATATTATACAATACAATATTTGCACGAAAGATATGCTTTACAGTACTAGATATGTATCTAGATACAATCGTTTACAGATATCAATCGTTTTATCCTTTCCTGACTGTATATAATCTTAAGTAGAAAGAATAAATATGCATTCTTTAATTTCATTGACGGAATTTTTCTTTCGCTCTAATTTAAGCGTTTTTTAGAGTGACGAGCGTTTTTTAGAACATAAACTTATAACGGTGTTGCACATTACGTCTCTAAGGTGACCATTTTCATAAGAAAGTTGAAATCGTCAACTTCTGTGATTGACCGTCTAAGTATTCACGTTATTGTTTACATAACAGAATAATTTTTATCAAGTGGAAAACACGAACCGTTTGTGACAATTTAAAATTAAAATTAAAAAATTATATTAATAACAGCTGAGTAACAGCAATAAAACTTTAATAAGTTTTTCTTTTTATACACTAATTCAAAATTATTATTATAATAATGCAGTATTTTGATGACTTTATTAAATTAGTTCATTTAATCACTGTCGGTGATTTTTAAAGTATCGCTTCTCAAAAACGTAAGTTGTATATTAATTTAAATGCAATGTTTCTCTTCAGAATTATGCATTCATTTTCAAATTCAAGTGTAAAAATATGTTTACTTATTTCCGTTTGTGTTGTGATGACTTTCAATATGATTAATGCAAATGCGCATAGAACTGGATACTCTTAATAAAAGAGTTCGAATGAATGCAGATAGGCTTCAGTGTCCCGTGACCTTCTTCTCCGACCTAGGTTAAAAAAATGTATCGTCTAATTTAAAGGAGGAAAATGAAAGCACCGGAAAAACATCAAAATTTATTTTATGTGTACATTTAGCATAGCATGTGTATGAAACTATATTGAATTCCTTTGTTTTCCTTTTGAGTGTCAAAAGCTTTACGTAAGAATTTATAATAATCTTCGTTTTGTTCCAACTATCTTTTGAAAACGATGCTCTAAGAAACAAAAGTCTTGTGACATAGTTTATTGACCTCAAACCATAGACCCTTTCTTTTTTTTTCCTTGCGTTTCACGAAAGCTTTCCTTTTTTTAGACGTAATAAAAGAAATTTAGATTTTTTTATGAAATTTTGTTCCCTGTGATGAAAACGTTTTGCTGCTCCAATAGTTTCTATGTTTATTCTAAAAGAGACAAAGGATTAATACGTAAAAGCAGAAATGGAAACATATTACCTATGTAAAAATATCTATTAAGGAACAAGCCGTTTTTCAGATAAGTGTAACTAAAAATTATAAACATTTTACATACATTAAAGTATCGAAAGAGAAAAAAATATTTCATTCAAATGAGTATGAGTACAATATGAAATCTGTACTTATATAAAAATACTGAAGAAAACAACAGAGGAACTGAAAACGAAATAGGAGTAGAAAGGAAAAGATTTTACTTAAATAAAGATATCGGTTAAATGTACGGAAAATAAAAACTTTATTTTGAAATGAGTATGAGTAACAAAGAAAAAAAAATTAATGAGTAAGAATAGATATGAAAAACGCTACATGCATAAAAAGTAGTGATCAGAGTTGAAAGGGTAGGAAAAAAACTTTTTAGTTTAGTAGAGACAAAAACAAAGTATCCACTTCATAAAAATATTTGGAACCATATAATTTATGCAGAAAAAATATACTAAATCTGGGAAAAAAAGGAAAGGAAAGTTCTAAAATTTGATTTCCTTTGTTTTTACTTTATGCACTATTTTAAAAGTTATAGATGAACTCATTGCAAAACCTCTAAATTAACACAAGCAGGACGCCTCATTTTAGTCATCTGTGAGATCATAAGCGTAGCTGTCAATCATCATAACGGAAAGTCCCAAATATAGCTCAATTACTTAACAGGTTGATTAATTTACCATGCAGTTTTAGCCTCATTTCAGTGTTTAAAATAAGGTAACATTATATTTTCAGTGTTTTGTATTCTGTTCACATATAAAAATGTTTTTATATTCACAATATAAACACTAAAATTGTTTGTTCTCTCTTTGTACATTCATTATTTTCTCGCAAAATTAAGTAATTCATTAGAACTAGCAAAATCTGTAGAACGTTTCAATTTTTAATTTGTCAGGAACAGCTCACTTATCAAAAGGAGTTTATAGTTCATTTGTTGCTTCATACTTATTTATTGTCACTTTTCAAAATATTCTATGATGTGTTGTTGTTGAACGATTATTATTTTCAGGACTTTTAAGTCTTTAAAATTTGTCATTCTCTATCAGCACCTTTCTCCAAACTTCATAATTATTTCCTTCAATAATATTAGATAATTTATACCAGATTGACATACACTGAGTGATTAATTGAAATTCGCATATCTCAAATTTAAAGTCTGAAATATTTTAAACAGCCGGTTCTTTGCATACCCTGGCATGTCACAAAACGTATTTTCATAACAAGTCTAAATTTCGCTATACATCAAGAAACGTGCTGTTGTTTAAAGATTTTTTTCATTTGTTTTCAGTGTCATAGTTATCTCACAACACACATGAAGCGCCTAAACAATAAAGAATATATTTTCATTAATTAGTGCCAGTTGGATTCCATGAATATGAATATAGCGTACAGAGAGCTAGAAAATTCGTAAATAGTGAGAGAGAGAAGAAAAAGAGAAAAATAAGTTAAAGTAGTTACAAAACATGTAATCGATAATAAAACAAATTTCGGCTTCCAAATGCCCTTGGAGGATTACGTTATTCAAAATTTGATGGCTCTAGGTACCGTGGTTTTATCACAATGCGAGAAACTTAAGTACATTCATGCAGATTCTTCCTTATTTAATTTCTTTAAATATAATACAGGACGATAAGATTTGGTGGCAACAATTTGAAAAGCGATACGCCGTTGCTAGTGATTCGACGCAAAATGCCAAAACGATAATAGCCCTTTTGGGCTAATAATAAAACAAATTCCAAATTCCAAATTTGGGCTTCTAGAAGCCCATATTCGGGTGGAAAGATACGTTATTCAAAATTTGATGGCTCTAGATACCGTTGTTTTATCACAATGTAAGAATGATACATACATTTATGCAGATTCTTCATTATTTAATTTCTTTAATACAGGGCTCTAATATTTGGTGACAACAATTTAAAAAATGATTCGCCGTTTATAGTGAATCAGCGCAAAATGACGAAACAAAATTAATAGCTCTTCTTGGCTTCCCTTTGGCCTAAAAGTCATTTTTGTGTTATTACTGCATGTAATGCGGAGGAGTGAAAATAGAAAATTATTAAACTCGTATGCTTAATGCTCGTGTTTTTATTGTTGCGAACAATAATCTTATTAGAAAGAAAAACAATTTTAAATATGTTCGTAAACGTATTAAAACAATATATATGTATAACGTATTAGATATGGTCACACTGTGTGGGAATATTCACCTGCATGAAAAAAAAGATTTAAACACATGTTTAAAGAATGTTATTTTTTTTTTCAGATGTGTGGAAATTGAGGTTAGAAATTCTATCTACATAAAAATTATAGGTAGAATTATTGTATTATAATGTATTATTATGACATCCCGTAATGATGCTTATTACAAGTCGAATAATTCGCTAATAGGCTGAGAAAGTCGTTTTGCTTTTTGCAGAAGAGAATTTGTTTGATTGCTTATTTGAAGACAGAAAGTACACGAGAGTTACATGCCTAGATGAATTCGTTGAGGACTTTCTAAGGAAAACGAGTTTACGTTACGCGTGAAGAAAGTCACAAAAGCATTTATACACTTATTACAAATAAGTATTTGGACACCTATGCAAATGACGATATCTGCGGTCCTAAGGTACGTCACGGACTCCGCCGGTATATATCGTGTAGGAAAGAGCATCGGCTTTAGTCGCATGCAAGATGCCTCGCAGTTCGGAGCTCTGTGATTTCGAGAAAGGTATAATTATCGGGTGTCACAAATGTGGTCGATCCTTAAGGGACATATCTAGCGATCTGAAGTACCCAAAATCGACAGTGGCCTATGTGATTAAGAAGTGGAAGGTGAGCGGTGATTGTCGGAATGTGTCCCG